AAGAAGGATGGAAAACATCAGAATTCCAGACTTCCAACGTACTGATTTGTACCCAAGCGTTCTAAGTTTCACAACAACGAGCAACACATATTGTTTCGTTCAACACCTCCGGCCGTCGCGGCCGGTGTAGACACGATTTGGTAAGTGCGGTGCGAGGTCCTCTTGGCCGGCGTAAGCCCGAATGACCCCAAACCCCTCCCCTTTGGCGTGGAAGGGATCAAAGGGAAGGGCTTTGCTTTCGACTCAACTAGTTTTGGGCTTCGGGATCCTGGGGGGGAATGATATTCAGACCCAGGACCCCTCTCAGAACCCCCCCCCCCCGGCGGCGAAAGGATCAAAGTGAAGGTGCTTCTGTTCAAGTCACCTAGGACGTTGCTCAACTTGGCTCAAGCTGGCGCGCTCGAGGAGGAGTGCCCACAGAGGGAGGAGGGGGGAAGCGGCAACGACGACGACGACGTCGACGTCGACGACGACGACGACGACGACGACGACGACGACGACGACGACGACTACAACGGGGAAGCCTCGCGCACACGCCGACAGGGTCGGCGGAATTTTGTTTGCTTCTCACGCGTGGGCAGTGCGGACGCCCGGCCCCTTGGGTGCAGGAAAAAGACAGCGGATGAGGAGGAGGAGGAGGAGGAGGAGGAGGAACAGGCGGAGGAGGAGGAGGAGGAGGAAGAGAGGGAAAAGGAGGAGGAGGAGGAGGAAATGGAGGAAGAGGACGAGGACCGTGAGGAGCGAGGAGAAGGAGGCGGCACGCAGTTGAAGCGGTGGTCATCCCGCCCACGGCAATCGGCCCCCGGCCCGCGCGGCCATCCAGCGTGCCTCCGCCCTCCCCACTCCCACTCGCCTCCCCAACACATAGCACACCTGCCAGCTTACTCCCTCACCTCGCCGCTACTCTCCCCCCCTCATCTCCTGCCCCTCTCTCCCCCTCCTCGCCCCTCTCTCCCGCCCTCCTCTCCTCCCCCCTCCTCTCCCCCCACCTTCCCCTCCTCCCCCCCTCCCCCACTCGCAGCACCTCCTCTCCTCTCCCCTCCCCTCCTTCCTCTCCTCTCCCCTCCTCGCCCTCTCTCCCCGCCCCCTCTCTCTCTCTCTCTCTCTCCCCCCTCGCCCGGCCCCAGCTCCTCCTCCTCGTCGCTCCCCCTCGCCGCTCCCAGGTACCTGGCCTGGATGACCGAGGAGCAGGCCGTGGCCAAGGGCGTGAAGCTGCGGGCCGAGGGCTCCGAGGAGGCCTTGGCCCCGCCTGGGCCCTCTCCGGCGTCCGGTCGGCCGGTCGGCGCCGCCAACGCCGCCGTCGGTCGCCAGCAGGTCGGTCGCGCGTGCGCCGGTCGGTGGTCGTCCGTCGGTCCTCCGTCGACCGTCGTCGGTCGTCCGCCGTCGGAGGCGGGGGGGGGGAAAGATCAGGAAGACCGTTATCGGGTTGGGAGGAGGGGGCTGGGAGAAACGGGGCTATCCTCACGCGTAGTCCGCCGAAGGAATCGTTGATTGCATCCAGATGCTATTGCTCATGCCCTTCATCCTCCCGACCACTTCCCTCTGGCACGAGACGTGTGCTCCTCGAAGGGGGGGGATTGGAAGGTGGAGGAGGAGGAGGAGGAGGAGGAGGAGGAGGAGGAGGAGGAGCGGGGATGAGGGAAGGCGGAGGGGCGGAGGGGGCTGAAGCCATTGTGGCTCCAGAGGCGGCAGTGTCTCAAGCGCGGCCTCGGGCGCGCGGCGACTTGGCGGCAGCGAGCCATGGCCGTGGCCGCGCCGCTTGGGCCCCGCGGAGCTCGAGCTGGAGCTTCTGGGCCTGGACAAGGCCGAGCCGAGGACCACCGCGCGCCGTGGCTCACGCGTAAGAGCATGCAGGTGCTCCTCGCCAGCCTGGGCCGCAGGCCCCCATCCTTCTAGCTCGGAGACCTGCCGAGAGGTAGGGCTTGAAAGTCCAAGAGGTGGCCAGCGAGAGCCCCATTTCGGAAAGGGGCTGCCCTCCATTCGTTCAGAGCTTGCAACTTGCTGATGCAGCACGTGTGGAGTCTAGAGTGAGATCCCCATTCGGAAAACGATCTGTCCTGTATCCCATCAAGGGCGGAAGCGTCAAGGACGAATGCATGCGGCGCTTAGGCGAGAGCCGCTATTTGATAAGCACGGAGCTCAGGTGCGAGTCACATTTTGAAAGCGATGCGCCGCCTACCCGTGTAAACTACGAGGACGACTTATTTGGAACCGCCCCACCCAAGAAGGCGTCGCGCTGGATGCGGCGACGGCCGCCTCACAAGCCACCCGTGCAGCCTCGGAGGGAGAAGCAGCCGAAGCAGGCAGGCTGGTCCTTGAACTTTCGCGTCAGCGCCAAATCTATTGCACCAAATCTATTTCACCACCCCCTTGTCGCTGGACCCTCTTTTTGGTCAATCCGAGATGATGAGGAGAAGGAGGAGGAGGAGGAGAAGGAGGAGGATGAGGAACAGGAGGAGGACGAGGAGAAGGAGGAGGAGGAGGAGGAGGAGGAGGAGGA